CTTGCATTTGCCAATCAGGTGCTTAGGACACTGAACTATCACTCTGGCCCTGTTCCTTTTATAATTTGTCTTTAATTTCAGAGGGTAGATGAAGGAGTGATTAGGGGATAAGACATAGGGAGGTGCACTGGATGCTAAAATAGCTCACTTAGTTTTCTCCTCTGTGTGAAAGCAAAAACAAACAAAATTGCTTCCATCTGCGTAAGGCAAAAAAGTACTTTCTGGTCTAAGTGCACAAAAGAACATAACAAACTTTTCCCTCCTTTTTTGATATGGTAAGTGCACTTAACATAAGATCTACCTTTTCAACATATTTTAAGCACATAATACTACGTTGTCATAGATCACAAATACTTAGGAAAAAATCCCTTAGCTAAAAAAAAAGTCTCTTCAAATAGTGTGGAAGTAACAAAAATTCTCTATGGTGTCCATTTATCAGCTAGGCATTGCTCAATTATAAATGACAGAAAGCCCAACAGAGAAATGACTCTTGCAAAAGGAATTTACTGTTGCAGATAAAAGAATGATGAAGCTGCCTAAGCCATGGTACAATCAAAGGTCAAGTAATATTTTACAATTTAGAGTTGACATGAATTTGCAAAGATAGTGCATGAAGTTTGTATATTAACTCATATGCAGGTTTTCCTATTAACATCTTACATTAATATATTTGTCTCATGTAATGAAATAATGTTAGCAAGTTACAGTATTAATTGCATACTGTATCCACATGTCCTTAATTTTTACCTAACATCCTTTTCCTGTTCCAAGATCCAGCTTTACAGTTAGTCTTTATGGCAATTTGTGCTTTCATTTAGATTGTTTCTTACAATTGCCTTCCTGTCAGTTATGCCATTTTTGAGAACTGTAAGGTACGTTATGTGTCTTTCAATTGAGATTTGCCTGGTGTTTTTTCCTGATTAGTAAAGCTATGGTTTTTAGGGGAAAAGACACAGAGACAAAGTACCATTTTTTGTGTCAGAATTACTCACCACCAACACATCTTAGTACTGTACATGTTAATCTTGAGCATCTGGTTGAGGTAGCGCTTATCACCTTTCTCCATGCTAATAGAGGGCTTCCCATTTCATTCTGGGCTTTTCCCAAGGGACTCAGTATGTGTAGTACACACTTTAGAAATGGGTAATCATCTTTCTATCTATATATCTGTTCATTTATTTTTATCAGTACACTCTCATGGTTATTCATTTTATTCTTTAGATTTTTTTGAAACTAGTTTGTTTCTCATACTTTGTGTATTGAGTGCTTTTTTCAATTGACTGCTGTGTACTTTTCACATACTCCCATCATTGTGAGTGAGAATTTTAGCATAGAACCTTTCACTTTTTGACACTGTAAGGTTCTCCAGGGTTATCTTATATATTCCTGTTCCATTACTAGACGTAGCCATTTCTCCAGGAAGTCTTTGTTCCTTATATTGGACAAAGATGTCAGAAACCAAACTCAGAGTGCTAGGAGTACTCACTTTTATATGGGTGTCATTCCTTCTAGGTCTTCCTAGCTGACAGAGTAGGGAATTATGTGGTTGTATTAGAGGCTTAAATGATTACATCTGGACTCAGATTTTCTTCTTTCATAACCCAGGATGTCCACATTGACTCCATTCTTAGAAATTTTCTTTGTACTTGCAAGGTATGTATAAAAGACCTGGAATTTAAGTCCCAATAGACACAATAGGCATAGTAATTCTTTTCCAGAATTATCAACAAATTCCTACCACATATAATTTGACTCTTTTAAACACACTTGCCAATTCCAAAATATTTCAGCATAGGCAGGAAAAGTGAGATGTTCTCTTGTGTTAAGCCTGCATTATGTGTGCTTCCCTGGAGACAGTGTATTGACTCTAATGGGATAAAAGTTTTGGAGCAAAGAATTTTCAAATGGATGTTAGCCAAAAAGGAAAAATATGCACTATACGGTGGGAAAATTATAATTTTCCACAATTATTAGTATTTCTATGAATTCAACAATTCTAAAATTGGCCACTACTTATTGTGAAGTTTTGAGAGAAAATAAGAGCAGTTTTCTAAACATATACATTAGTAAACGGCTTGGGCTGCAGTAGTAGCAAATGACTGCTGCAACTTCTGAAATTGAACAGTACTTTGCTACATATTTGCATATGAGTATTTTCTGCATTGAAACTATAAATGTAGAGAGTGCATCCATTGTTGGGTTCTTTTATGGTTTTGCTTTTAAAAATAATTTCACTCTTGCATAAATGGAGCATTTAGGCTGGCATGAGATGAGATAAACTCAGCTGTCCTTTGTGATTACTGCCTCATTTTTATTGTCTTCAGTGGTTGCTTTTATTTACCTTTTAAAGGAACACACTCAAAGGGAAAGCAGACAGTTTACTGTTCATTCATGAATTTCTCTGAAAATCTTAAGGCATTTTCTCATTCCATTCCTATTTTAAAGAAGTTTGTAAGACATGAAAAAGGAAAGGCTGTGAGATATAAATGCCATGCATTAAAATCCAAACTACTAGTAAGATCTGAAGCTTTGCTTTTGTTTCTTAAGAAACATCTTAAGAATTAAAGTGTAGCATGATTCTTTTCGTAGTCATTCTTTGCAAAGACACACTACTTGTAAGCTATAAGCCATCATCACAAAAGTTTGTGTCATTTTTTTACAATTGGAAGGTATTTTTTTACATTGATTAAATTATTTTTATTTCTTACCTTTAAAATGTTACTTTTCATTGCAGAGGTCAAAATGATTAAAAAATAAAATACTAAACAAACACTATTACCATTTCTTTTAATTTCAATTTTAAAAACACTGCTGGTTACATCTTTATAAAATGTGTTTCAACATGTAGTTGAGCCATAAGTATTTTAGGTGATTTAAAATTGTAAATATTATGTGGATATAAATTGACAGGCATTGAAAGTCTTGGTTATTTGGAATTTTCATAGAATTACAGATTTATTTCATGAGTGGTATTCATGGGTAAAGTCCTTAGAATTACCAAAACATTTTTGTTTTGAACCTTTTTTTTTTTTGACAGAAATACTACTTTTCTACTTTTTTTTTTTTTACTTTTCTACTTTTTGCAACAGATTCTGACCATAATTTATTTATTTTTATGACTGTTTTAAACCGTTTCCTATTTTAAAGTGTTTAATATTTCTAAAAATATTTGAGTCTTGCCTTAAATTTGTTCCTGCATATTTAAATTCCTTATAAGTATAATCAATTTGGGCCTGACATATTCATTCTAAATTTAAGTAAATGCTCAAACAATTAGTTATTAAATATATTGATATATTAAATGCGATGATAATCTTATTTCATTTATTCTTTATATTAAAATAGGAATTAAAATTTTTTTTTAAAAAAAGGAAATGAGACTCAGAGAGCCTTATTTAAGCTAATTCAAAAGAGATAGGCTACAAACCTCTCTGCACAAGATGACTTTGCCGTATATCTAAAAACTAAGAGGGGCTGTGGTTGTTGCTCAGGGGCATAAGTGCCTACTCAGTAAGTGCAAGATCTCGAGTTTGAACCCTGGTATAAATAAATAAATAAATACTAAGAAAAAGAAGAGCTGTTTTGACAAAAGAAAAAAAATCAAAATGAACATTAATTGCTCTGAGAAACAGCCCTCTGTGGTTTCTCTCATGTTTTTACTTGTCTTGTGAGGTATACAAAAAATATACAGCTGTGATAATTCCTTCCCCAGGTCAATTTTCATGTCTAGGTTTATAGGAGATACCCTTGAGGAACGAATTTATCAGAAACAAAGAGCCGACTTTCTATGAAAGCATTGGATAATCCAGTTTCAGAATTTCCCTTCTGTATTTTCAGCCCACTATGCCCAGAGTAGGTTTATGAAAGAACTTGAGGACAAAGAAAGGTCACTAAAGAATAAATCCTAGACATGAGCTCTTCAAAAACATGTCCTGGAGCATTCTAAAAAACCAATCAAAGCCAATTAAATGTAATAGAAGTAGCCAACATTTTTTTTACTACTACTGCCTCGTAAGTTCTTAATGCTTTATTCTTTGTAATACTGAGATAGGTGCTATTGTATTAAATCTTCATTTTAAGAAGTTGGTCTAAGATTTTATAGCTAGGATTTGTCAGCACCAGGCACTGAATGTAGGCTCTTCAGCTCCACTACGCAGGTACTCAAGCACCTCCTTAGGAAATTACTGCTATTTTTGGTCATAAAAGTCTTTGTTTAGTATCCACTACTCGCCAAAAAGGGTACAGTAAAGAGGAGCATCCAATGAAAGGCCAGGAAGATGCTTCTGATGCATACACCATATGAACCTGAAGAAGATTTGGTCAGAGCAATCGGCCTGCAGCTGACAGGGCAAATATCTGTCATATAGTGTGTTCTTACTTTTAGCTCTCGATTTTATGCAAGTGGCTTTATCTTGGCAAAAAAAAACAATGGATGCTCCAAAGACCAAGTCCTACATGCAAAACCAAAGTCAGACAAATGTCCAGATAAATGCATTAAAGATAGCAAAGAAACCGATTACGGTGACCTTTCTCATTGCTCTCTTGGGTTAGTCTCTCAGTTATGAGTCTAAGACCTTCCTTCCTCATTATTATTATTACTATTATTATTAATTATTTTCTCTAGGCACCACCTCTCTCTTTTCTAGGAGTTTACCAATTTGGGCATATCAGAACCAAAGAAAGATAATTTAGGGAATAAAAAGAAATGAGGAATGCTAGGGTCAAAGAGAAAGAAAAACAAAACGGTTAAAGTAAGATGTAATCCAAGCCCACTGGATTGGGAGACTTGTCCACCTCACAAACTGCGTCCTGCGCTCTCCAAGTAACTAGGCAACGATGTTGCCTCGGTAACTAAAACAGCTAAGAGGCCCCAGAGATGCCCTGATGTCCAGGTCAGGGGGCGGGGCGCGGGAATGCTGGGATCTCGCGAGACGTGCGTGGGGGCGCAACCTGGACGCCGTTGCCCTTAGAGACGGCAGGTGGCTGGCCAGGGGTGGGCCTCGGAGCTGCGTAATGGCTGCTCAGCGGGGCCGGTCCTCCTCTCCTCTGAGGGTCTTGGAAGAAGCTTTGGGTACTGGGCTGGCTGCCGCCGGGGAGCCTGCGGTCGCGGAGGCCGCGGAGGGCGCCTTCTACCTGGAGCGTATCCTTCCCTGGGGCGCGCCCCGACCGCCGCTGGGAGGATGGTGTGGGCGGAGGCGGGCGCTTCCCTGGGGGCGCCCTGGAGGCGGCCGCCGAGCTGCGCCTGCCTGAAGGGCCGGGGTCTTTGCCACCCACCGCCTACCTCTGAGGTGCCACCCGACGGATTTCTCCATCTGGGAGTTGCCTCGTTTGCCTCAGAAGAATTGGGGGACCTTTCAAGACTTTGCACTTAGTAACCGTTCCAGACCCTTGCTTGGAGGGTTGGTTTTCATGTAGAAGCAGCCCACCCACTAGAGCAGCCCCCGCCTTCACAGAATGGTTGTCCTAAACCTCCAAGTTTTCAGTGTGTCTTTGCTCTGAATTCTACCTGGGAGTGTTAGGAACCTCTTGCCGTTGGGCTTTAGTGAGCTGAAGCACAGCCTCAGGTCCATCACCTTGCTGAGTAGTTTCAGTATTAGTTGTTTAATAATGATAATTGTTTTTTGTTTTTCTTGTGTCACTAAGTGAATTGACAAGTCTCTGAAGATAACAGGAAAAAATGGTGTGGAGCCATTGTTAATGGTAGTACTAGAAAAACTGAACAACCTTGTATGACTATTTCCTCTTAAAACTAGAACTCCCTTCCTTTCCTCTAGGTATATAGTTTAATGATACTGGAGAGATGGGGAGGACTCCTGAGAAAAATACACTGAACTCCTTTCTTGGTAGATAAGAGTGGAGGTTATCTATCATATTCTTAAACATAGAAAACGTACTCTGCAGTTTTCTCCCACCTCTTGTTTTGTTTTTCTTGTCCGACAGGGAGACCATCTGGAGTTCAGGCTAGCTGGGCTTTGTACTTGTGCAGATTCGCCTGCCTCAGCCTCACAAGTGCTGGCCTTGCAACACACACTTTGATAAAATCGCCTTGATTTTTGTCTTACCTCAGATTCATTATACATTCATGCTTAAGGAAGTCATGAACACTGTAGTGGAAAGCTCACAGAAAACATGCAGTATTTTAATGAATGCAAAAATGATTCTTAGGGCCAGCCAAATAGCTCAGTGGATTAAAGCACATACAGGCAAGCGCAGGGGCTGGGAGTTTCATCCCCGGAGGCCTGCCTGCCACCCTGTTCAGGGGGTGCTCAGAGAGGGCAAATGAGACTGGGTGTGGTGGTGCAAGCCTGTAATCCCAGCCCTTGGGAAGGTGTAAACAGGCGGATCACTGAGTCCGATCTAGTAGTGAGACCCTGAACAAACTGTAGACCATTCCCTAAAATACAAAAAACAATAACAACAATAACAAAACAAAAAAACCCAACTCTCCCCCCCAAAAAACAACAAAAAGCCAAAAACAAAATCAAAAACGATTCTTATAGGAATATGTGTGAATACCTTGAAATTATTTTACATGAAATATATGGTGGTTTAGTATCAGAAATGAAGCTTTATACTCTTTTCATAGCTCTAACAGCTGCTTTTTCTAGTAATATTCCCTTTTAAGTTACAAAATGATTCATATTATTTTGCATCTATCTACAAGTATAATATCTAGTGTCCTTACTAGTGAATTGTAACCAAGGAGTTTGTCAATGTTGTATGTATTAAAATGATTTCTATTAACAGTTTAGGTTTTAACATAAGACTAGCACAGTACAATAACTTTTGCAAATATCTTTATGAAATAAAAGATATATCAATATAATGCAATTTTAAAGAATGAAAATCAGATTTTTCTGAAATTGCAGGAGGGTCATGGAGTCACAGTGGCCAACATTTGGCAATTTGCAAAGACTTCTGCAAATATTCACGTTAATAGACATGAGCAATTCTGATTTTTCCAGAATTTGGTGAATGATCTAGCCCCTTTGTTTTTCCTCCATCTCTGTTTGGTTCACTGATTACTATTTTGGTTTTTGTTTGATACATAATTAGGGAATAGAAAAGTGAAACATTTAAGCAGTCAGTTTTGCAATATTCAGTGTTCAGGGAAGAGGTTTAGTCATGGGGGAGGCTTTAACTCTTAGTTAAAATGAAGTTTGAGGATTACTTGTGAATGCCAATTATCCTTGTATCCCTGGGCTCTCTTCACATGCATAATTAAGAGTTGACTGTATAATGTTATTTGACATTGTTTCTTAAGGCAATTATGATAGTTGCTGAAGTGAGACTTTGTTGGGCTTAAGTCTTTAGCTCTCAGGTAATTTAATTGAGCTACTTCAGTGGATAAATAAAAGTTATAATATGCACAAATGAATCAGAAGTCTGATGTCCGCTACCTTGTACATGTAATCATTTAATCTGGATTTGCCCTGACTTCCCTTACTTATGACTGAGTTGATGCTCCTAGTGCACTAGACAGTGGTCTGTGCTTGGTATAGAAAGAGGTTGACTTGACTGTTTCAGGAAACCCATCACCCTTATCCTGTCTTCATTCAAACCTAAAGAACATGAATGGACTGCATACCTAGACAGCATCTAACATCGGGGGTTGATGGGAATGTCTTTATTAACAAAGACTTCACTTTCTTCAAAACAAGTTTAGAGAATGTGTTGAAGGGGAACATTCTTACCCTGGAAACATTGAAAAATCCTTTCCTATAACCTCCTCATTGTAACAAGCACTTATTTTTCTTCTGAGGCACTTCACAGTATCATTGCTTTTATGTCTTAAAACGTTGACACGTGCTTATTTTACCATCATAATTTTAAGAAATCTAGTAGTGGAGTATATGAATCTTCTGGGAAAGTATTTGCAGCATTGAAAAAATTAAGGCTAGCTTTGACTTTGAGCTATATGGACAACTAAGTACACATCTCAGAACTTGATTGTGTTTTGTGAATGAATCCTGTATAAGAAATCAATACAACTTAGTTTAGGTTTTCACTTATAATAATGATTGGGGGTTGCCCCTGGCTGGAGACTTCTGGGAATGTCTATATTCAACTGGTAGATACAGGGCAAAAAGAATTTGCATGAAGAAAGGTAAAGGTTAATTGGTTTTGTTATTTGTTCAAGGAAGCGTAATAGAATATGGAACCCTGAAAATATTGTTTTAGTTACCTGTCTCCCTTTACTCTGATTCTCTGTTCCTCTAATTAACTTGATAAAAATTTCCTTTTTCTACACATTCTAACACTAAGAATTTGGTTTGCTGGTCTCTGAAAAAGTCTCCCCTGTCCACAGCAAGAGTTTCTCATGATGTTGCCAACTCTGGTGGAAGTCCCCAAGTCAACTGTTGCAATTGTCAGATTCTCAACTGCAAAATTAAGGATTTTATACTCTGAAATAGGGGGCTGATATGAGACTGACAGCACATACAAGGTGCATGTTTTCTTCAGAAGTGAAGTCACTAGCCAGTTTTACACTGAAATAGTACTGTCTGCAAATAACTTTGATATTGAACTTTTGCCATTTTTACTTTTTATTATTTTGTTGTTTATTGTCTTTAATTTCTTGGTAAAAATAAACGACATTTTAGTAACTAAAGATAATTAGAACTCTGAAAGATAATTAGACATGAGCAATTCTGATTTTTTCCAGAATTTGGTGAATGATCTAGCCCCTTTGTTTTTCCTCCATCTCTCTTTGGTTCACTGATTACTATTTTGGCTTTTGTTTGTATGTAGCTAGGTATGTAGATTTTTCTGTTTGTCTTATTCTCTTACATGAATGATTTCCTTGGATAACCTAATTTTCTTTTGTTATAAAATGGTATGTTTATACTATTAAAAGATTTTGTAAAGTCCTTAATAATCATGTATTCTTTTTTTTTTTTTTTTTTTTTTGTGGAACTGGGGATTGAACTCAGATTATTGTGCTTGCCAGGGAAGTGCTTATTCTACTGAGCCATTGCCCCAACCCCAATAATCATGTATGCAAATAGCATATTTCTTTTCTTTTCTTTCTTTCCTTTTTTTTTTTTTTTTTTTTTTTTGGTGGAATCAGGGATTGAACTCAGGCCCTTGTGCTTGCCAGGGAAGTGCTTATTCCACCGAGCCATCTTCCTGGCCCAGCATATTTCTTTTTATCACTGGAAAATTTCCCATGTCCTTGAGTGCTCAGATATTAAAATACATGTGTCTACGTACATTCAAGTAAAATGGATAGATAATTTGAACATAGAGTGTAAACCAGGAGTCATGTTACTAAATCTAGAATGCTGAATACTATATGTATGAAGGTCAAAGGCTGTTTCATGAGAAAAATTGAGTTTTGTTGTTTTCTAGCTTAGACAAACTTTAGTGCGCATATAAATGTTCCATTGAAGGTTTTCAGTGCAGTTCTGCCTTGCTAACAAGACTGTGCATACTCTGGGCTTCGGGTCTGAGGGCTGTAATCAGATATCAAGCCTGCAGACAAACACCTTGACCTTCCCTTCCCAATTTTAGGTAGAAGCATATGTAGAGCCCATGTCTTTCAGTCTTCTGGATTAGAATTTAGAAAAGATATATACCATCACCCTCAGTAAGAACTGTGAGTCTTACATATATTGTAAGGAAAGCTATTTTCAAGCTTCTGTGGTAGAGAAGATGTGATAGGTATCTAGGACAAAAATGTCCAGTGCACTTCCACTCTTGGCAGTTCTGTTGATTACTAGTGACTGCCTGATACGTGGTGTTGATACAAATTCTGAAACCTTATGGAGTCAGTGGTAAAGACTATAGGAAGCAAACAGCAACAGGGAAAGTGACAGTGAGCGTGCCAATTATTTCCATCTTTTATCTATGTAATTCCCTTAACTTGCTTTGTTTATAGTGGCATTCCTAAGCAAGGGAAGCTGACTTGAGGTCTGATGTTTGTAGTACTACTTTTCTATGGTAGTTATTTTTCTACGGTAGTAAATGCAGTGTTGATGATACAGGCACCGGACTAAGTTTTAGATTGCCTCTCTGTGCACTGGCTCTGAAGTGATGGTAAAGATGACAAAGTGATTTCATTTAAAGTAACTTTGAGAAGTCAAGTAGAATACAATTAGGTTTCACTGTAATTCTTTATAAAGAAGGTAGTGCTGGCTA